TTAAATGTAAAGTGTTGCGGCACTATATAGGAAGTGTTGTGGTGCTCAAAATATAGCGTTGTAGTGCTAAGCTATTGTGCTTTGGCCTCTTTTTCTTCATGGATTAGCGCCGTATTGTTGCAAATGTAGATCTGTGGTGCTGTTACAGTATTTTGCTACAATATTTTTGTCATTTTCTTTCTAACTTATTCTGCTATAAATTTCTGGCACAAAACATAGAACAAATGCCATAAAAGTACAAAATAATACAACATTGACACAAAAATATGCAGCAATTTTTATGTATTTTGAACGCTTAACACCATGTCCACTAAAATGCAAAAGCTGTGTGAAGTTCAAACAGATGGATCTTTCCCATATTTTCCATTTAATGTGTAATCAAGTGTTTTGGCTGGAGTAATGAGGGATTGGGAGTGGTATAATGGTTGGAATATTAAGACTAGTCTAGCTCTAGTTAGTTTGGCTTAATTTGGAAGATTAATTTAGGAGAATGAGTTTTGTGGTGTAAATTGCTAAAAGTGTTTGTGAAGTGTTAACTTAAGATTTTTATTTGTGTTCTGGAATAGATGGTTAGGTTTGGTGGTTGTCGAGAAGTGGAGAACAAATTTATGTCCTAGTCTTGTCTAGGTTGGTTGAGAGCTACAAGTGAACTTTTTGAGTTATTTTAAGGCATAAAATCGTGGCTGATCTTGGAGGAGGTTTATGATGTGAAGAATAGTATTAAAATGGTCTAGATCGGTATATATGTGATGAACAAATAATGATGAAGAAAATAATGATAATTATCACATCTCACTAAAGATAAGGAAGATTTAAGGCTACCAAACTCTATACAAAATGAAAAGGGTATTCTTCACTAAAATATTTTATTTAATATTAAAATTTTTATCACAAATTAAGTTATATTTATAAGTAAAAGTTTATGGTGGCAAAGTTTAAAAGTTTATGAGAAAAAAATTGAAAGAGGAATTGGTTAATTTATGGTGAGGATTTTCAATATTCTCATTACCTTTTCATTTTCTATGCTCCGTTATTAAGGTGGTCAACCATAAATGATTCCGAAGATATCTAAAATACAAAATTTGAATGAATTTATATATGAATAATTTAAACATTAGGTCTTGCCTTGGGCTTTGAAACGGGCTCTTCTTCATGCACTTGTTCTTTTTTGGGCCTTAGCTTTTGCTCTTATAATAGGTCTAATAGGCTAATTTAAATTATTCACTTGATGCTCATATCGGAGTTAACCCAAACTAAGATACATGTCACACTTTTATTAATGACTTAAACAAAGTTACAATGAAAACTCAAAAGACGACACACAAAACAAAAGTGTAAAACAAAGGATTACAAATAAAGACTTGACAAAAGAAGACACAATAAGTTTGATGAGGAGGAAGCTCGGGCGGTGATGTAAGACAGGTGGCTACGGTGAAGGCTAGAGAAGTGACTCGCTATTGTGGAAGGGATGGTTAACAAATCAACGAGGGTAGGGACGTGAACCACAGTTGGAGGAAGCTTGGAAGGGGCAACGGTGGTTGTGGCCTGCAGAGAAACTGCAGGTAGAGTTCATTGGCCAGCTGTTGGCTATCGGGGTTGCTGGGAGAAGGCTGGCTGCAGGTTGGATGGAGGAAGAAGTGTTGTAGCTGGTTGCGTGCTGGGAGGAGTATGGAGAGCTTCAACCTTGCTGGAGAAGGCTGACAACAGGTTGGAGGGAGGAAGAAGCTAAGCTGCAGCTGGTTGGGCACAGGGAGGAGGCTTGACGACGGCCTCCAAGGTTGCAGGGGGCAGCGACAGCCTGCTGGGAGGAGTATTGAGAGCTGCGACCTTGTTGGGAGGAGGCTGGCAGCAATTTGGAGGGAGGAAGAAGCTGGGCTACAGCTGGTTGGGTGTAGGGAGGACAGGGTGCAGGGGGAGTTTGGAAGCTGTTGGGGTGCTGGAGCCAGCGAGCAGCAGCAAAAGGATGAAATAATCAATAAATATCTCGTCAAGGTCGAGCTACAACTGCAGCATCACCCGAACCCGTGGAGACAATCACCACTTAGGACGAGGGAGGGACAACCAAAGCAGTACCTCGACATCAGATATAACCCTCGAAGGGAAAATACCCAGGGTAAAACCTGAATTCAGATAGCAAAAATAAAACCCTAACTCTAGGCACATCAACTCCTATCTGTAAGGAGACTTGACCAAATTAGGAAACACTAAAATAAGAAGGAGAATAAAATCAGATTTCAGGTTTTAGGAAAAACTTTTAAGATAATGAAGGAGAATAAAGTCAGATTTTAGATTTGAGAAATGATTTAAAATTATGAAGGAGAATAAAAATCATATTTTAATTTTAGGAAATGTTTTAAAATAGAAAAATGCTAGGAAGGAAAATAAGAAAGGAAGGAAAAATAAAAAAAAAAATTAAAAAGGAAAGGAGGGAAGAGGCGGGAGGAGAGAAGAAAGAGAGTGTGACAACCCTTTCCTTGAGGACCGGCTCGTGAGGCCAACGTCAGCCTCCTGGGTTGGGAGAGCTTTCACACCATAGGTCGAAGCTTTCGTGTCGTTTTTAGCCACCCCTGAACTTCACTGGCGAGTGCACCATATACCAAAACATCTTAGGGGCTTTTTCCACTTGCTACCTCTCTTTTGATTTGTTCTTGTTTGGCATAATTTGAACTGGAGGTATACCACCAAATAGGTTCTCCTGAGCCAAATTCCGAATAAGTAAATATCTCATATGTTTCTCATCTATATGACAAGTTGGGCCTCAGCGAGGTTGAGGATTGCAAGAGTTTGGTTGATGGGTGATTCTTATTATCTTCCAGGTCCCTCTGACTTTTGAAGTTTTGGAGAACTGGCATTTTCTGCTGCGTTCCAGTAACAAGAGCTTTACATTGGCCTTTTGTCTCTTCATATGGAACACTGGGGTGAGGGCTGACAGTGTAGCTCCGGGGATGCTATTGGTTGATTGTTACTAAGACCATCCATTGAAATTTTAAAGTTTGACATCTTTTGGTTTGCGTGATCATTATATGTCTCAACAATAAGCTCTCCACCTTCTAGGAGAGTAGGAATCACAATCTCATCAAAATTCGCATGTTCCTTTTGATCACATAGAGGAAAGACAACGGAAATATCCACAAATATGGGAATTTCTCGGGGAAATACGTCATCAGATAAAAATTCTCGTTCAAACTACTCTTCATGATCTATGGTGTCAATACCCTAGGTTTTAACAATACCCTGCTCCGTGAAATAAATCACTCCCTTGATTGTGCCTTCTGCTTCCACATGTTCGAATCCGTGACACTTGCAACATTTTCTTGCAGTGACAGACTTGCGGTTTGGTTTCTCTAGATAGTAGCATGGGGGAGGGGGTAGAAGAACAAGAGAAGACTGGTCCATTTAATTGGGGAGAGGAAAAAGAAAAGACATTCAAACTCCTCAAAGAAAAGTTGATTAATGCACCTTTACTTATTTTACCTAACTTCACTAAAACGTTTGAAACTGAGTGTGATGCATTAGGTATAGGTATTGGCTGCGTGTTGATGCAAGAGGGGAAGCTGGTTGCATACTCAAGTAAAAAGTTAAAGTGGGGCAGCCCTAAACTACCTTACTTATGATAAAGAATTATATGCATTGGTTCAAACTCTAGAAACTTGGCAAAATTACCTTTGGCCGAAGGACTTTGTGATTCATATAGACCATGAATCTTTGAAACATTTGAAAGGGCATAACAAGTTGAACAAACATCATGCCAAATGGGTGAAGCGCATCAAGACATTTTTCATATGTGATCAAACACAAGCAAGGTAAAGAAACTGTAGTTGATGAACTATCTCATAGGTACGTTTTACTTTCCACTCTTGATACTAAATTGCTTGGATTTGAAAATATTAAGGAGGCGTATGAATTTGATTCTAATTTTGATGAAGTTTTTAGATATTGCTCTAAAGGGTCATGTGATAAATTTTACTAACAGGATGAATTTCTGTTTAGAAAGAATATGTTGTGTGTTCCGTATTCATCCTTGCGTAAATTACTTGTTCGGGAAGCCCATTGTGGTGGTTTGATGGGGTACTTTAGGGTAGCTAAGACTTTGGGCGTGTTACAGGAGCATTTCTTTTGACCACATATGAGACGTGATGTTAAGAAGATTTGTGGAAGATGCATTACATGTAATCAAGCTAAATCTAGACTATAACTACATGGGTTGTATACTGCACTTCCTATTCCTGGTGAGCCTTGGGTTGATATTTTCATAGATTTTGTTTTGGGATTACCTGAGGCAAAAAGATTCAATTTTTTTAATTGTTGATAGGTTGTCTAAGATGACACAGTTGATTGCTTGTCATATGGCCAAAGATGCATCACAATGGCTGATTTATTTTTCTAGAAGATTGCTAGGTTGCATGGTATGCCTAGGAGTATTTTTTTGATAGAGATGCAAAGCTCTTGACTTTTGGTAGATTTTGTGGGGAAGTTGGGAACTACTATGTTTCTATTTTTTGCCACTTATCGTCTACAAACTGATGGTCAAACTGAAGTAATGAATAGAACTTATTGTTGCATGCTGTCATTCAAAAGAACTTGAAAATATGGGAAGATTGCTTGTTGCATGTTGAATTTTCTTATAATGTATGTGTTCATTTTGAAGCTAAGTTTCACCATTTGTGATTGTTCATAGTTTCGATCCATTGACTCCTTCAGATTTGACTCATTTACATATGAGTGAACGTGTTAACTTAGATGATAAGAAGAAAGCTGATATTGTTAGGTTGATTCATGAGAAGGCAATGCAAAATATCGAGTTGCGGACCGAGCAATATTCAAATCAAGTCAATAAGGGTCGTGAGAAAAGAGTTTTCCGAAACGAAGACATTCTAAACTCTTGCCAAGGGGCAATGAACCGTTTCAACGCATTAATGACAATGCCCATAAATCGGATCCACTAAGTATGGTGTTATTGCTTAGCTTTAATGTTTATGACTTATCTCTTTTTGATGTAGGTGTTGATTTGAGAACAAATCTTTTTGAAGCGGGGAAGAATGATTCAAATGGAGCTACACTCAAGCATGATGGACGTTAAATACCTTTGTCTCTTCCAAGTGTGCAAGTCACAAGACCTAGAGCTAGAAAGCTTTAAATGAGCCAGCCCAACAAGTTGGCGAATTAACTTACACATGGAGGCTCAACAAGAATCCACAACAAACCCAAGTGCCTAATCAATGTGATTAAGACTCTAGAAGGGTTTCCTTAAGAACATATTTTTTAGCCATTCTTGAAAGCCAACTTGTCAGATTCACGAATTTGGAAAGCACGTCTGTTTTAGAGCGACATGTGGGCCCCATATCACTAAGGTCTTTTTATCAAATTTTTATTATATTTGTTATGTAATGTTCGAATTCCTTAGCTTAGTGATTCTGTTTTATTTAAGCATGTAAATTTGGATATTTTCCTTTTTTTTCTACTTTCCTTTTTTGTTATTTTTTAAATATTTCCAGATTTTGGGATTAATTCAGCCTGAAATTAATGTCAAGGTTTTCTAAGTCAGCATGCATTGGGTCTTTCTAAGGCTGGAATTTTAATCCTTTATATTGTGAAACTTTTGGTTTATTTTGTAGTTTTTATGAAGATTCGGAAAATTCACGAATTTGTGAGATTTTTTTGGTTCTTATTTTCTTGAGAAGACTTTTGAACATGAAGTTAAATCTTGTGGCGTTCGAACAACTAACTTAACAAATTCTTTAACATTCTTGAGATTCTAGACGTGGCGTCTTCCTATTCGTGTTTTTGGATTCTTATCTTGCTAGGTAAAATATGTGTCTTGTAAATACTCAGGGTTCAATTTCCAGATTTGGTGTCAAGTTTTGTTGCCTTGTCGTCGACAGGTATTATATCACCTTCCTTTGTGGCATATGCAAGTGAGATATAATGGCTACAGTTAAGATTTGTAGAATTCTTCTGCTCATCTCGCAAGTCATTATTTGCACCAGTAAGTGAGCCTATGCTCACAGATAACCCATGCTCGATGCATTCTATAACAGAATTTTTGTAATGCATTATTTTCTTTTTGAAGAAGTTATTTTCTTCTGTTTTTTTTGGCTCATTTTAGCTCATGCAATAACATGTGCTTTTCTTTTATTTTTCAAGTTCAATACAAAAGGAGTCCTTTTCTACTGGTTTTTTACTCATTTTAGCTAATGCAGTAACATGTGATTTTCTTTTAGATATACATAATTCCTTTTATATATATATGAAATATGGCCCACGCAACTTCAGCTCAATGAAGTCTTGAAGGTGGGTTGCTGATATGAATCAAGCATGGGATCAAAATTTCTATTAGAGAGCAAACTAACATAGGATCAAAATTAACTTATTTTCATCCTAAAATTTTAAGCCTTTAAACAAGAGTCCAATTGGTATTCTACACTAGGATTCTTTTCCCCATCTATTGTTAACTAAGAGTCTGTTTGGGACATCTGTAGCTTATCTAGCTTCTGCTGATAAGCTGCTTATCTTGATAATATGTTGATAAGCAGCTTATTCGGATAAGCTGTCTAGCTGTTCGGTTTGTGCGTTTGGAAAACAGCTGATTATGGAAAAATAGTCATTCTGCCCCTGTTCTGAATAAGTTGTTCAACTGTTTGGTTTGTGTGTTTTGTGAACAGTTTATTTGCAATATTTTTTAGTTGAATGAATAATCTGTGTAGTAGAAATTGTTATTTTCTCAACAAAATTAAAATCAAATGTTAAGACAAGAAAATACAAAAAAATGGAGCTATAATTATATAGCTCAAATATATCTGATTACATCAAATGAGCAAAATTACGCATACAAAAGTAAAATGCACATATTAATATGGAGTGTAATGAGACCAAAAAAAAGAAAAAATAACATGTCAAAATGACAAGGACAAAAATTATAATGTTGACTTTAAAATGTAGCAGCATCTCGCGGCCCATGTTGCCCGGCTCTAACACTCCAGAACCCTGAGCAAACATGTCCGACTATGTAGTAAAAATGGAAGCATTTGAACCAGATGCGGAGTTTTGAAATTTTGATATCGACGAACTCTGAGCAGTGGTGTCCAGTTGTGATATCATAGAAACAGACTCTTTGTCGGCCCACCTGAAGAAAGTGCAGTTCTCCTGTTGTTGTGCCCGCCACGAGCACCTGTAAAATTACCTCCAGAAGCTATGCGGCTGACGTGACGTGAGTAGCAAGGACGGTAGCCCGCACCGACACATCACTTTCTTGGACTTTCCTGAATATCTAGAACTTATTGTCCTGCAGTTATTAAAAATAGAATAGATCAGTCAAAAAATTGAGGAAATATAAAAAGTATACTTATTGAAGTATGGAGGCAGCGATTGCCGATAACAAATTTCTGTGGCCGTCCAAAATGCCCCACTGTTATCTCAATAAAATTAGTATAATTTATTATTAAGAAAAAAATTAAATAGGACATAAATACATATAGTAGCATTTGGTCCATTAATCCATATATCCAAACATATTTGCAAAGCAGCAAGTAGTTTGAAGCACACAAATGAATCGAACATATACAGGGATGCATAGCACCCAAATGAAGCAGCAGGTAATTCGAAACCCCTATGTACTGTAGAAAGTGTAGATGCAGCAGGTAAATCCGAAACAAGATGAGAAAGCTAAAACATATGTACCAACAATAATTAGAATTACCTGCAACAAGTAAATCCGAAAGTTTTACATATATATCACTCAATTTCTCAGTGAAATGCTTCGTTTCTTATAATTGAATCATATGCACCAACAATAATTAGAATTAACTGCTGTTAGAAAGGCATTTAATAGCAGCCATAGAAATTTTCTTTTATCTGAAATGCTTCATTTCTTATAATTCAAATCCATTTACCTGCTGCTAGAACCATACTCAAAGGACAACCCTCCAATACTTAGAAAAAAACAAATAAATGTCAGCATTTAATTACAAACTAATTCATATTTATTTTTTTTAAGCCTTTGTGTGTCCAATAACTTTTTCTTTCTTGCAAACATTAAAAAACAACATGATAGATTTACATGTCTACCAGCTAATTCTTATCTATTAACAACATGTCAACTTACAGATCACCAAACTTGCATAGGAATTGGGGGGTAGGAATATAAATGCGTCAAATGATAGTTGATTCTTATTACTACTAAATATAATAAAAATTGTTTTATACACTCACAAGAATTTTGTACATCAAATAGCAGCTATAGAAATGTTTCAAATGCTTCACCCAAAAAACCAGGAACAAAAAAACATGTTGCCATACATAACCATACCATATAATAGCAGCCATAGAAATGCTTGGCCATGTAAGTAGTCTATATAATAGACAACAATGATCCAACTGATGCTTCTCACAGAAAATGTATGCAGTGTTCCCTTTTTCCTTATTATGCAGATCTTATAGTAGCAGTTGCCCTTAAAGAATTGGGCCATCCAAGCTGCTAGAAATTTTGTGGAAGCAACAAATTTGAAATGATCGATATTCAGTATACCACAACCATATAATACTTTAGTATACCATAGCCAGATTTATCAATACAGAATCCAGATAATAATTCCCAGAATGATCGATATACAACTGAAGTGAGAAATTTACAAAATTTTAATTCCATGTTTCAAAATTCTCAATATAGAGATTTTCCATTAATTTCAAGTTTAATCCAGAATGTATGAATATAGTTTGCGCCAAAATTTTCCACACGAAACCAATTTTACTTCAATATACCGCAACAATAGTTTACTACAGAAGTTTGAGACAATTGATATTTATCACAAATTTGAAATGATCGATATTCAGTATACCACAACCATATAATACTTTAGTATACCATAGCCAGATTTATCAATACAGAATCCAGATAATAATTCCCAGAATGATCGATATACAACTGAAGTGAGAAATTTACAAAATTTTAATTCCATGTTTCAAAATTCTCAATATAGAGATTTTCCATTAATTTCAAGTTTAATCCAGAATGTATGAATATAGTTTGCGCCAAAATTTTCCACACGAAACCAATTTTACTTCAATATACCGCAACAATAGTTTACTACAGAAGTTTGAGACAATTGATATTTATCACAAAAAGGCTTCATATACGTTACCAAACAATTCTAATGAATTTTCATACATATTAAATATAAAACACCTCATTGACTCGACAACAAAAATGCATCTCATTGACTCAATAATGCTTGCCCTCAATTTAAAGCACCTCATTGACTCAACAACAAAAATGCATCTCATTGATTTCAGTTACCTGCTGCACCTCATTTTCATTCCATCCCATGGAATATTCTTGCACATAGATAAATAAATTTTTACATCTAGAAGCTTTCCACCACAATATACAATTAAATTTTACGCAAAAAATAGGAAGCATCATACTAATTGTACTCATAAAAAGGTCAAGACTAATGGTCCATGAACAACATCCACCACAAAGTTCTGAATAACTCACATAACAAGTGAGATATGAAAGTTTACATATAAATGCATAAATGTTGAAAGGAAAGCTCATATATTAGATATGTAAATACATCTATATGTTATGCGCATACATCATATGCATATGTTCATACCGAGGAAACAAAACCAGCAAATTATATAGCTCCATACATCATTTCCAGCCATGCATATTGTTTAAGTAATTCGATCTCTGCTAAAGTATAGTGCAACCATAGTAAAACACAACCATAATTACCCACATTAAAGCCATCAACAAAAACTAATTTCCAGCGTATGAAAAAAATGAAAAATGAAGCACTGTTTTCATAAATACTAGTTAAACATGCAAACAACATATTGCTGAAGTACCATAGGCTTGTAGGGGATACTTAATATCAATGCATCATATAATGCCATAAAAATATAAGTGAAACACAACAAGTATCATTCACAGATGTCTAGATGACTCGACTTATGTCATTTGCTATTTGCTCTCTCAAAGTCGTCATCTCCGAAGCACCTTTTCCATCTGGGGTGTGTGATTCTATTGAATCAAGTTTGAGTTGTGGGATGGTACGTCTAACATGCTATTCAAATGCCTCAGGTGATATTTGCAATAAATCTTCTTCTACAACGACAAATTCTGCATCTATCCTGGAGTGATGTCATCGAATGAAGTTGTGTAGTGTCATTGTGGCCACTACAATATGGACTTATTTTGGAAATGAATATGTTGGCATATCACGTAAAATAACCCATCTCTTCTTCCAAACCCACCCCGAACGATCTCTCGATCACACCACGCAAGGATGAGAAAATTTCTTTCTTGCCTCATGCAACTCTGCTCAATCTCTCAAAATCAAGTATATGATATTTTGTATCTGGATATAGTTTCAAATAACCCCTTTATAAAGGGTGCCCGACATCGACCAAATAGTACTTCCCTATGTAAGGTTTTCTGGTATTTAGAAGTTTTATATAAATTCGGATGTTAAAAGTAAAACACGACTGTCATACCTGGTGGTAGATAAGGGAAACCATATTTTTTGTTACTAGTAGCAAACTTGAAAACACGGCTGTCGTGTGCGGCGCATTCCCCCTTCCCATCTAACAATCACATAGGTAAAACACATGTTTAAATCACAAACAACCATTACATTTTTTGTTGAGGATCCACACCGTTCAATGTATGCAACTTTCTCTATGCCAGAAAGACGTGCGTCGACATGTGTTCCGTCAATTGCTCCGATGCAATCCTGCGATGGACGAATTTACCAATAAGAAAATCATATGTTTAAAATTGTTTAGGGAAGCACCTTAAAGAATGACATATATCGATGGTCATTTGCAACATGTGTGGGGATGGACTGGAATGTTGGGTCCTCTAGCTTGACTATTTCACGTGTCAGGCTCACTAGCACATTCAACCCAACTTTGAAATATCTACTTATGATTTCTGAGGAATGTTAAAACCGTTTTATAGCTCCTCTAATGGATTCATTATGAGATAAAATGTAAAATGTTATTACCAACACCTCTCTACCTGTTGTTATTAATGAACCATGCAATCCATGAAGGGTCCGAAGTTCATTAAGCAGATCCAAAAAAATGACTTTTGTCATACGAAACATATTTGCAAAACGTGTAAAAAAACGTGTCGGGTGACCACCTAATAACTCCTTGATCCATCTATCTCAAATATTAATAGACGTCATGCATGGATTTCGATCAACATATGCATGGTAGTAATGGTATAGCAATGTAAGGGTGAGAGCAACAATGCAAATTTGATTAATTTGTGTTTCATCCATAATATAAATTCTGTAAAAATGATAGATTTTTAAACAAGATAATAAGTAATATGTGACAACGACAATGATACATAGATTACATATTCATGATTGAAAAAGTACAATACATTAAACAAGTCCATCACATTAATAGAACATAAGAAATAAATAGATAGGAGTCCATCACATAAATAGTATTCAATCTTTCATAAAAGAACACAAGTAGGGAAGACGAAATTCTAGGTCCAAAGTCTCAAAGAACTGTCTGTGAGTAGAGTTCCCTAGCAACTTAATATACTTAACATACATAGCTTGGTTTTCCTTAATACTAGGATATGTGTTAAGGATCTTAGCACACTCCTGAATTGTGTTGTCCTTCACCGTTTTGGAATTATTTTTGCAAGTTTCAATCAATGTCTCAATAGAATCTCTAACAAGTGCAAAGCCTTTTTTTTTGCCGGTCGGGGACGTGTTGTTCCAACAATGGATTGGTTATCTGTGGGGATTTGGCTGGGACCTTCTCCTGAATCAATTATATGCTCGGTCTCCATATCCTGTGCTAAGTTTGCGAAGCCCTGCTCATTTGGGGTGAAAAAATGAGCTCCTGTTGCTACAACGCTAGTGAACATACCATCCAACTTATCTTCCAAAGCTGGTTCAATGCCAGTCAATTTGAATTTTTTTGCCGCTGGCATTGTCTGTTATAACAAAAAAAATGTAATCAATATTCAAAACATTTGACTCTGAAAATACGTAGTAATAGTGATGTAATTACCTCTAACTTTTCTGCCCACCATTCCTCAAGTGCATCAATTGTCCGCTTTAGTGAATCCCATCCTAATCCAGTTGATCCCATTTTGAGCTCTTTCTAAAGTTTCCAATCATTTTTTAATTAATCCCATTTGTTTTCTTAGCTTCATCCAATCGTAATCCCTTCTGGTTATTTCCTTGAATTTATTCGTGAGATTCTTCCAACCTTCTTTATTAAAATAATCAGCGGGTTGATTTCCCAATTCGACCTCAGATCACAAAAAATATTAGTAGTCTCTCTATCCCACATAGCCGATGATCTAGATTCTTTAGATTTACTCATTTTTTACTATGACATTAATAGATGGTAAGATGACATGTATGACTGAAAATGAGTCAGTCAAGAGATGGAATTTGCATATGTAATAAAAAATGCACAATGATTATGAATTGAAATATATATCGGTATATTGGTGAAACAGAATTGTGCTTTTAATATAACCATTATGTATGAAATCTTTTCTTTTTCTCGCCAATGAAATCATACTCTACGCTCCATAACCACAAGTAATATGAAATGATAACATCAAGTCCCTTAAAAGATATCAGATCTCACAAAATCATTAACTAATAGAAAAGAACACCCATTCAAGATTCATATGAATCAAAGCAAACATTAAAAGGAAGAAGCATTGCACGAAGATTACATGTTTGATATTTATCCATCACCAAAAAAAGAATATAGAATGAGAGCATAAATCTTCTAACTTTTTTTTTTCCCACACCATCGGGTCTGCATTATACCTGCAAGCAGACAAAACTCATTTTGAAATACTAATAACAAACATTCAAGTTGTGGATCATTGTAAAAAAGCACAAAACTTTGTAAAGAGTACTACATACTGCTTGTCAATATATACTAACAGTAATTCATTGAAAGGCAAAGCAAGCTTCGATTACCAAAGGTTCCTTAAAATCAATTCTAGGGATCATAAAATATTAACTTTATATAATTCCCAATGGCATGTACACTCAAAAATATATTGTTCGACAATTGCAAGTAATGAATATTAGAGGTATCACTCTCATTGTCAGGCAAGAAAACACCAAAAATACATTCTTATAGATTATGAATTGCAAATAATGAAGACTGCTTATAGATCTTCGTATATGAGTGAAACTCACAGCAAGATTCATATGGAAGATGTATCAAATTTTTAATAACCTCAGAAATCTTTTCCTGACATGGAGACCATATGAACAACAAACGCTCAAAAATTTCAGTAAATAAAAATCAAATATCAGGCTTTTCTAAGAAAGGTTAGGGATGCAAAATCGAGAAGGAATCCCTCTCGATACTTTAAATATTTCATAATAACAATGGATCTACATTTTTACCGGCAATACATGCCTCCCACCAACTAGATCTAGGTTTTTAGTTACTAAACACTTCCAGATTCACCACAAAGAACACATGGATCGTTTGAAATCAAGATGTTTTTCGGCGAAATGGGGGAATGGAGGGAGGAGCGGAATGAGGAGAAGAGATTTCTTACCTGCAGAGCGACTTCGGAGGTAGGATCAACGCCAAGAGTTCAAAGAAAAGTTAGGGATGCGGGACTGTTTGCGAGGGTAGCTCCGTAAAAGCTTGGAGGCCGAATGTGGATCGCGAGGATATACCCGCGGTCCGCGTGTAATACAAAATAAAAAACACTGTTTTCTAAAACGCTACTCAAACGTGAAAAAATAAACGTTAAGGCGGCGTTTTTAAAAATGCCGCCGCACTTTTAAGCTGCCCCAAACGGGCCCTAAATCTAAATTCTTATGTAGATATACAAATTCTCTGTGTTAACTAAAATGTTATGCTAAAGTATGTGTCTTCTAATGATTGTTAAAAAATAGTACTTAATATATGTTGCAGGTTTGAAAGAAATTTTATATTTTAGAATCCATTGTGACATGGTTAATCATGTTTTCTTAACGTTGATAAAACACAAAATGTTTAATCTACTCTTCGCTTTTGCAGCAAAAGGAGCTTAGACTTTTAAGAGGTGTATTATCTCCCCTCATTCATCAAATGACTGATAATGCTCATACTATAATATGTTCATGGAAGGATTAATTAGGCAAATTGCTTATTTTACTTGCAATTATCCATCTTCAAATAATTGAGATAGAGTTAATGATACTATAATCTGTTTTTAACCCAATATATTTCGTTTCTGTTGGAATCCTGCCATTGCTGATCAATCATGTATTATTGTACGGAATGAAGACTGCTGAAACTTAGGCCTCATGGTTCAGAAGAATATCAACCTTCTAATGCATTGTTATGTTAACAAGTAATAACAACAAATCTACATCTTATCTCATCCGCACACAATGTTTTTTCTATGTAGACATGATTCTTTGAATATGTGAGGTTGCAATATTTATTTATATTATATGGAGTTTAGTTCCAATGTTGTTTGACTCAAAACCATTTTCTGATCTGGCATCTCTGAAGAGAACGAAGGCGCACAAATGTTTTATTGGGTGGATAGAGATTGGTCCTTAACATGAAACTTTGATTCGTGTCGCACTGCAATGTTGTCTTTTACATAGGAGGGGATGGGACATGGTCTTCACCACATTCGATTATCTATAGTTCAGGAAGTTGGGATAATTGATGACTGAAATTGAGTTTCGAAAGATGAAATTTAAAATTACCAAAAGTATTACATATTATATGATCATTAATCGGATGTATCAAAATTTTTGTAATAGATAGCTCTGGATGCTTGACAAGAGAATTGTGATTTAAAGGTATAGACTTTGAAATACTGGAATTAAATATATGAATTGATGATATTTTGCATGTATAAGAATGTTCTGATTTCTAAAACATAGGTGTGATTAGATTCTTTTTTTAAATAATTTGTTTGTAATTTTGAATGTCTTTTATTCGTTAAAATGTCTGATAAATGGCTAAATCATCATGACTTCATGAGGATTATTGATATTTGACTTATTGATAACTCATGTATAGTGGATCACAAGGTCGTATAAAGTTGAGTTTAAAGATGCATGATGTGCATCTTATTTCGTTTGGTTGTTAAGAGTTATTTAATTTTAAGGTCTTGAGTTTAAAATTCAGCATATATGATTACATTTATGAGTTTATAACGCATACATGCATATATATGGATATATAGATATATGCGCGGGCATACACATTTACGAACACATGTTGTTATATTATTATATTATTACATTATGTATATCACATTTAAATAAATTTATTATTCATTATGCCATCCTATTCGGCCCCTTAATTAATTTTTGGACAATGAACCTCCCCTCTATTGGTTCAATGGCCGTCCTGATTTTGTTATAATATAATAATGCTTCAAATTACATTTCCATTGATTTTGTCTTTGAAAAATAACCAACCAATTAAAGCATTGCAACTTGCAAAATTTCTAGTTGTAGATTTCACTCTTTTATTACCCTGTCAATCCATTTCCAACATCCAAACAAGAACCACAACTTCTCCTCAGCTGTAAATTTTTACTATTATTATTTGGGACAATATGTTCCTATTTCTCGACTATTTGACTTCAAAATATGCCCTTTTCCCCATTTTTTTTTAATATTCAGGTGTTGTTTTATATGCTAGATGTAATGATATGATAATTTAATTATAATTATTTTCTTATCACTTAAATTGATGTAATAATAAAGTCACCTAAATGAGAACAAAATTGGCCACAAGCTAGATTACTTGAAGCTTCATGGCCTAATGAACAATCCAGAAGAAATGACAAGTAATGTCATAATCACCGTTGGTATACATGAATAGCATCGTGTTAAATATTTAGTTAATTACGCAGCTGAAAGACAAATATATTGCTTTCAAAATTATATTTTTATTCTAACAAATGATGTTTTTGCTTAAAATATTGAACTGATTAACCCCCTAATACAAACAAACCCAGTAATTCCCAAGCTGAGTTTTCCTCTAATTTTTTTTTTAGTTTTTTGGGAAGCTGAGCCTTAATAGCATTCTAAGCACTTGGAGGGTTAGCATGTGTGGGAAACCAAGCCCCCAATCAACGGGCCATGTGTATCAACCCTTCTCGTTCAAATTTCGAAACAACTGTCGTATTCTGAAGTGAAGTTGCTCTGTCGAAAGAAGCAATCCACTTATTTTGTCTTTGGCCAAATTCAAAATTTAAGAATTTCTTGGAACTGATACTGGATTCCTTTAGCATGGCAGGAGATGAATCTCGTAGCACCAAATCAGACTAACTGACACCCCCTTCTTCTTCACTTGTTTTCCAACTATGCCTATATATATATATATATATACATATATGTGTGTGCGCGCGCGCGCGCGCCGCGCGTGCGCACGTGTGCCAAAACTCATAATTCAGTTCAAAGTCTTCAATAATGTTAAATTCAAATTTGTATTTGGATCACACCTAAGAAATAGAACGTAAATGAGAGAAATGAGGGATAATTAACGATAAACAAGTATATTGACCTTTTTTGATTAAGATTGTGTACCTTTTATTTTCGAGATGATCTCCTATTTTTGAGCATAGGAGACATGACTTATAAAATTATATAAAGGCCCCTACTTTAATAGGAACTGCATAGGGCAATACATGTATTAGGCTTTGGTAGGCCCAGGGATCTTTTGGATTCTTTGATTCGATGATCTGGGCAGCAGGGATGAGACAGTTGATCTTGTCGACCATCTATATTGGTAAAATGATCCAACAGACTAAAGTCCCAGGCTTAGTTGGTCCATCATCCTCGTGAACTCAGACGAGTATTCTTAATTCGCCATACAAGTATATTACTGGCCAATTTAGTTCTCAGTGGATTCTCCGACTTCTTGCATTAACCGATCTTAGTTGAAGACTATTGTCCAAGCTTTGCCTAGGTTCTTACATTGCCCGTTACGTCATTTGGGTGCGTCTAGATTCCTTTGAGATGGAAGAAGAGGGGCATGTGGAAAGAGAGAGAGAAAGGTCGAAATAAGATGCCTGGGTTCGCGGCGGCTCTTTAGCCCATGGATGCCACTGGACCAGGTTCTGATGAAGGCTGTACTGTACAAAA